CCATATGTCCTTTTTGCATTAATTCAGTAAAAGAATGTTAAAGCAATGGCGGAAGTTAGCTTTCAGTTCCTAGCTTTGTGGTTGGGAGAGACACACACAGATACTACATTATTTGGAATCATGATTTTATTATTCAAATTTGATGGAGAAGAAAGGAGAGTACTCAAGAAAAACAAGTTGGGTTTGTTTGAATAGTGGAATTTTATGTTTTTTTTTGTAATAAATAATATATGGTTAATTATATGCTACGGGATCCTTAATAATGAGATCAAGTAACTCCTGTATTTATAAATTGTTAAGGACAATGGAATCTCAATTGTCCATTTTGAGCATAGCATTCACGGCTTTGCTTTTGGTTTTATCCAAAAAAACCTCATTAATTTTCTGCATCTATATATCATGGATCATTCATTTGTCTAGCTAACGTGAGACTTTGTTTGCATATCCCTTTACAAACCCAACATAAACTTTATGTGAAGTGTCGTGATCTTTTTGATATGGGATCATTAACACACTACGGCCACAGTGTTACCATTCATGATGAATTAACGAAGATTTTTTTTCACTCAAATCTTTTGAACTGGGGAGAAGAAAATCTTGTTGGGAAACATGAAGAGGCAATGGGATTTGAAGCCAAGAAGTGCACATGGAAGGGAGGGGATGAATATTAGCAATGGGGAGCTTGTTCCCATTAATTTGTGGAGATTTCTTTGAAGAATTGTGGGCAAAGGAAGCCTCCCCCCATGCTTGTCCATGTGTTGTAGTTGTGGAAAACCTACAAACTTGGGAGGTGGGCCAAATGGCCACTTGTCGCTTCGTGATTGGTTCATTATATTACAGAGTTGAAATTTCTTAATGGATTATTTTTAACACACTTAGTTTTAAGAAATCTCTTGAAGTTCTAAGTATGGGAGATTTTGTGTGTCCTTATTGGTTCATTTGATGGTTAGTTAATTCATTGAGTTGTGTAATAATTGACTTGTAACAAATTGCAAAGCTCTTGGACTTTGGTTAGATTACATTTTTTAAAAATTTGTCAGATAAAAGTTGGGTTTTGACTTGTCTTTTTGTACGAATGCAATGTACTAATTATATGTATACACACACATATTTGACCGACTTTCAAGCAATTATAGAACTATATGGCAATTTTTTTGCATAGTCTATGACGGGTGGCATTTGAAAATAAAGAGTATTGTACATTTAAGGTCATTATTTACGACTAAAAGTGAGCACAGCTCAGCGATAATTGTCATATATCTCCAATCAAGAGATTGTGAGTTCGATATCTCATCCCCACATGTTGTAATAAAAAAAAATATCATTATTTACGAACTCACTTTCAAATTCAAAAATAATTTAAATCATTCAAATGAACCTATCAAAAAAGTATATTAGTAAAACAAGAGTAGACCACTTTAAAATATATATCCAAACATGTTTTCATAAAATAAATTTGAAAAAAAAAAGTTAGTTAAATATTATGTTTCGGATATTTGTTAGCAAAACAATACTTAGATGCTTACGGTCAACACTTTTTTTTTGTTGACCACCTTTAAATTTTTGACAAGTAAGAGAAGATATTTTCTATTTTTTATAGCTTTTATTGGTGGTTAGCACAGAGATAGGTATTGATAAGATATATATGTTTTTTTACCCGATTGAAAGTTAAATTTTGACTCCCAAATTTGTTAGAACTAAAAAAAGCCATTGCAAAAAAATAAATAAATTGTTTTAGAACATTACATCATAAATACAATGTGAGAATATATATTTTTTTAAATACAACATGTAGCGTGAAAATTCAAATTCAAAACTTTTTAAAATTGACCGGAGCGAGGACTCTTAACTACAAATAAAGATAAAATGTCTTAACAACTAAATGCTATGCTCTAAGTTCAAATAAATCAGTTACTTTGATAGAAATTGGTTAAAGTACTAAAAGGACAATTTTTTTAATTATTATTTTATAAATAATTGAAGAGTTATTTTGGTGAATAATTGAGTTGGAGGCATGGGGTGAGGCGGGGCGGGGGCAGGGCGGTGGGGAGCGAGCGGCGAAGGCCAGGGCGAGCCCGCACGCTGCACACAGTGACATGCTTCGACAAGATGATTAAGGAATTTTGAGTGGGGGTGACAACTGACAGGCCAAGCCCGAGGCTTTCAATTTTAAATAATGTGTGTGCATCACCCTAATCATCAGTGTCCATCTCTGTGGGTGATGCTGCCATTATTTTGTAAGTAATGCCACTCTCATTTTCACCCCATTTGGTGAAATATCAAAAATGGTCATGTGATTGAAACATGATTCAATGAGTTGAAATAATTATGTTTTTATTTTATTTATCTGTTACATGGTGCAACAAGAGGGATAGCTTTTTCGTTCCAGTATGTTTTCAAGTTCTAGCTAAAACTTTGTTATAGTGGTTCAACAATAATCGATCCATCGAATTGGACAAGGCAAATATGAACTCGTAATTCATTGGTGGGAAAGGGCTCCAGGGTGGGAGTTTTGAAGGGGAAAATCCTATATGTTTTGATCCCGTGTCAAACCCAACATTCATTTTGCCTCTCTTTGGGTTTGATAGTGACCTTAGTGTGGATTGCTAAGATTCCCACTACAGCATCTTTCGACCCTAAGATTACAAATACAATTTCTATACACTTTTGAAAGAAGAGGAGAAGAAGAGAGGGGGGGCTATATATTATTGAACGTAAATTGAGGAGGCTTTGCCCCACTTTTACAAGACATGGCCAGAAAGAGAATGGCCCCAAAGAAGAAACACTTTAGGAACATACCCAATGAGATTATGCTTTGCCTTCGCATTTCCCCTTTTTTACTTTGGGTGACCTAATGCGCACGTGTGCCATTATCATTTTAAGTACACTATTATTCACCCTTCCTTCCACATACACGTGCTTCAGGGTCCTACTCAACTTCCACATTCTTCCACCCTCAGTTTTCCTTCTACTAATACTCACTGTTCAGTCATCAGAGAATAGTTCATTTTCCCTCTCTTTCAACAGGCATCCATCAAATCTAAGGGGTTTGAGAGACTCGGGGTAGGACGATTTTGATAGCTACAACTTCTTTCGTGCTATATTAACAAAATCAATTACAAGATACTTGTATGTATGATACTGCAGTTACTTCACAGATGAAATGCAAATAACTATGATTGTTATAACGGTAATAATGGGTTACCTTAGAGCAACGGTGAAAGTTCAAGACATGTTTGAGCTTCACTGATGAGATCTAAGTAGATATGCTTTTTGACTCTTAGTCCCTAGTGCTATATGATGAGAAATCACAAGATCAGGAGAAAGAAAATAAAAGAAAAGGCTAGCAAAGAAACCCATCTGAGCAGAAAAAAGAAGAAATGACAGATAATTTCACGCGGGGAGGGGGACATCAACAACAATCTCACTCAACTTTCACCAGAACAGAACTCCTACACAAAGTCAAAAAGGTACGGTTGCTTCATGTCGCAAGTTCTTATCCAAATGGGCTAGATGCGAAGTCTTAAGCAGACAAACTAGTTACTGTTCAATTTTTGGCTACTGACTTCAAACTGACCAGAAACAATGCATTCGTTTAATGGTTGGATCAGAATTCTTTTAGAAGCTTTGAAATGACAAAAATGGTAGTTTCTGATACATGGATCTGTTCTTACATCCGTCCACTAAAGTTGGTCTCTTTCGTCGTGGCTATCATATCATATCAACCAGCAAATACAACTAGAAGAACTGACATCAAAATTCTCTGCTTAAATTCATCCGAGAAGATGAGAGAGGCTATCTAGAATGTTCATTTCAACCTGTGATAACGCTTATTGGGGATCATGTTCATTAGGATATCTAAAATGCACTCATTATCATTACATCTACATCCACTTACTCAATACTGCACCGATCTATGAGAACAATTCTAAAGGGCCCAGCTTAACAAAAATATTCCAAGTCAAATGGTAATTCAAATTTAAAATATTGAATGTTTATCATGACACCTTGTAATGGATATCTACCACATAGTTGATCAAATAAGATCTAACAAATTGCTCAGTTTCTCCATCACTATTCAAACTTCAACTCACTATTTCCAATTTACATTACTATATAACTTTCTCTTAAACACATATTGCTTAAAATTTAAACATCCTAAATAATACCTTTTGAACTTCCCATAAGGGCATTATCCGAAAATATATCAACAAGTGGAACATGTTCTATATTTAAAATGGCAAGAATCTGAACCACATAAATCCAAATTATCTATAAATTCACGAAACGAATATGCTTAGACAAAAAAAAAATTAAAATTAAAAAGAATTGAGAATGAACCTAAACCGGTGAGAGGAATGAATATGTAACGAGCATTCGAATTCTGGCAGGTGGAACCCCATCAATTTAGAAGCATAAAAGATAAAAGTTTAAATATCAAAAACAAAAGAGAATCGAGGACATGTCTTGCGAAGACTAAATTAATAATCTTATGTATTAATTGCAGGGGTGAATCATGATCACTCCTTTTCAACTTTAGTTGCTTGTCCAAAAGAACGACCCCACTAACAAAACTATGTCCTGCAAGCAATTTGAGACCGTTGAAATGTAGCGTACCATACCAGTACTCCACAAGTTCGAACAATAGTCAATGCAAAATGAAGCTGATTATGTTGAAGGGCTGGTGCTGATTAAACAGGCAAATAACTGTATCATCTCATTTGGGGGTTCCCTTGTGAGGATTCCAACCACGAAAATATGAAAACCGCATCACATCTTCCTACACGATCCTGCTACTTATAACTGAAAGTTGCATCCTTGTCCACCTGTTAATAAAGACATATTAGTGGAATATCTCATCAAGTCCCGAGGGTGCTACAACCCAGATGAAAATAACATAAAACTTACAGATTTTTCAATCTCTTTCGCCTTCTCATCATCAAAGCCAAGGGTGGCCAAGATCTTGCGACCTGCAGATTCCTCTGACCAAATACCAAGAAGCAAATGACCTGTAGTTATTTCCCCAGATTCACCTACATACAACACCTCGAGTTCAATCAACGAATACTGCCACAAGCAAAGTACATACTAAAATGCACATATGTCACAATCAATCTTAGTCAATATCTACAATCAAGAAGTCTACACATACTTGTGCACATTTGTATATGATTCATGAATAACTAGATACTAGGATGAACCGAAATAGTGAAATTCTTCTTTGCAAGTGGGTGCTTCTTACTAAATGATAAGACAAATGCTTTGCAAAAAAGTCTTTGTTGCCTATACGCAACACAGCTTCAAAAGTCTTTCAAAAACAGTAAGCCGTAAGCATACCTAGAAAGCAATTATTCACTATTCTAATGTGGTAAGCATAATCCGTAAATTGTTTATTCACTATCCTAGCCGTGGAAAATTTATCTGATTTACTTCCTTTCCACTTGAGCTGTCAAGGAGTCAGTGGCAAAAAACGCATGACCTCCCTTACGTTTTCCTCTGATAATAGGCCATTGTTTGAACATGGAAAATAGGCAATACTAAAAATCTGGTTTGACCAGCTGTCAAAAAATTTGTCATCCTAACATCCCATTCTTTACAACGGCAGCTTCGAGTTTCAGTAGGAATTTCAAGTATCATTCACCTTAATTTCATGTCAGTTAAAGAATCACATTTGCTGCATGATTAAGAAGAATGATCTTACCTGACTTTAACTTCTCCGCAACAGCCCAATCAAGTGCCCTCTGAGCAGGTTCGGTCAATGGAGGATGCTCTGGGCTGAAGAAGTACATATCGGATTTTCCAAGTAGCTTAACAGTTTCTTCTCTTACTTTGAACAGTGTAATTCCATTAGCCCTTAAGAATCTGGCAGCTATGCTGGTTCCTGAAAGAAATGTGAAGGAATAAATGTCAAGGAAAAGAAAAGTTATCAAGCATTGAAGCACAGGCAATGCAATCACAGGGAATATGCAACTTTAGTTTATTTTTTATTTCAACATCTATATTGTTAGCAACTCAGCATAAGGATATTAAAAAATCATGTGGCCAAAGGCTACTGTTGAAGATAGGCAACTCGTATCAGCAGCTGACAGAAGTTGGCATGAACATAAGCTTCAATGTTGAATTTTTGACATAATTAAATCTTTCAAAGACAATACTGTAGTTTAGCACGAGGGACATCAGATGACGATGAAAGATATCATGAAATGATGCTGGAAGGGGTGTGGGGAAATGTAGCCACATTTTGAAATTGATAATCAAATATTGAATCCTTGGAGGACGATCTTGATTTTAGTGTGTTTAAAAAAAGGGACCAAGATTCAGATAGTTCTGCAACTTAAATGCATTCAACTAAGCTGAATGCATTTGCAAATCCAATTATAGATGTAAATAAGAAATGATCTCCAGACATAGAATGGCTACTAACCCTCAATTAAAATTCCCATTAGCAAAGCTTCTGTTCCGGTATTTGGATATTTGAGTTTCCTTGCTTCCAATTCTGCCATTGCAAATGACTTTATTGCTCTAGCTGACCATCTTATACATCACAAATTCAACAAACAATCATCTCAATTAACACCACTATCATTTTTTCATTAATCGACAATCTATGTGCTGAAAAGGAAAAGTCATATAACAAATGGTTCACAGCAGTGATATACTGACATGCTCGAAAATCAATATAGATAGATGGGAAAAAGTCGTACAACCAAAAAGAGAAAGATAAGAAGAATTCATTCTATGATATGCTGCAAGTAAGAGGTGACACATCTGCCACATTAGGCTATTGTTCAACATATCTGCGAATAGTTTCGAAAGCACAATAATTCCAACCTTTAAACCACAGTTCCTAAAATTGATTTCGAACCTCCCGGACAGGTCACCCCTCAAAGACTAAAATTGAAGTCTTAAAACTTATTAATAAGGACTAAAGTCATAGTTCAACCTAATTACCATTTACCACCCTTCATCACAAATTGCAAAAAGATTAGCTAAATTACAAAATAATCTACACACATTATGGAGGCAACCAACAACAACTCCAATTAACACCAACTGATGGGATAAAATTTGTGGGTAAACTTACTTTGGGAGTTTGTCAGGGGAAACGCCCTCGGGTTTCCTGCAAAATCAGAATTAAAAAAATAAAAATAAAAATTAAGGGCTTGAAAAAGAATCAGTAACTAAAGCAAGAGTGGCAAGAGAATTCGTACGTAGCCGGGAGGCTAAAGGACACAGTGGCAGTGGTGGCGCGGCGGGTGAACTTGGAGACGGAATGGGTGACATTAGAACGCTTAATTGCGAGCTTGAGCTCGAAAAGGGGGCTGACGGGAAGGAATAGAGTTTTGTGTTCTAAATTGTAACAATTGGATTGGGTGGCGAGGGAAAAGGGGACTTGTGAAAGCGAAAGAGAGTTCAAGCGAGTGGCCGCCATTAGAAGCTCTAGGGAAAGCTCAAATTTGGTAGAGAAGAGACTGAAATCAGCTCCAGAAAGAGTTAAACAAGTTACAACAATGGTGGCGTTGGTTGGCTCTGGTTAATGGTCAAGGCGTTTCCTGAGCTGCTTGCTCTCTCGATTTGGGTACGGCTTAGGGCCTGTTTCGTCGAGCGTTGGATAATTTAAGGAATTAAATAGATTCCGAAAAAAGAAAAACAAAGAGGAAAAGGAAAAGATAATAACTTGTAGCTTATTCCAAAAATATGTTAAGAGAATATTTGGTATAATTATTTTCTGTAATTTATTTAAAATAATTAGTGTTTGGTTCACTTGTTAAATTGGGGCTTATTTAGAAATAATAATTATAATATTATTATTATTAAATTAAACCTGATTATTATGCCAATTCAACAAAATATTTAACGATTTTATGAATTTGAATTACCTTGTWTGAAATACAAAATCCATAAAAACAATGCATTCAAATTATTTGTCTCACGTGGAAGARAAGGAGATTTCTATTTTTAAAATTTTCATAACTTTTAGTATGTATGAATCTAGGATTTAAATATTTAATTAAAATATTGAATTTTCAATTTTATAAAAATTTTGATGGAAGTAAAAAAATAAAATATTGATGTAAGTTGAAATTCTTTTAAAAAAATCATGAAAATAAAGAAGTCACAAAACTTATTTTAATGGATAAATAAACATTCCACACTTTTTAAATACATTAAACTTTTTTTTTACATAATTAAACTTTGTTATTAATATTTATTGACATTTTTAGTCCATCAAAAGATATAAATGATGTGCAAATCATGTACGAGAGAACATGATAGCAAGAAAGTTGCTTAAAATGCCTCGATAAGAATCTTAAAATTTGTTCAATCTAATTTAATTAATCAAAACATATATCTTCTACAAAAAAAAATAGTAGGTTGGAACTGTTCCACGACACAAATAAATTACTGAGTACATGGCCAAACCAAAGAAATAGTTTAATTTCACTTGTTGAGCTCAAAAAAGGGGTCAATGCGGCCCAGCCCTCTTCTCAAGGCCCTGATTTTTCCATAGCCCAAGCTGCTAGACAATGTGAAGTGATATAGACAGTATAGACAGAGCTTTACTTCTTAAAATCATCGCCATTTTTTCTTGATCTTCATTGCATGTTTTGCCACTTCTCCAGCATGCTTCTTTTTTATAATTCTTGATACTGGTTTCACGATGTCTGCGAGAGTCACCCACAGTAGCTAATTAGGGTCTCAAGGCCCTGATTCATTTTCCTTAATTTTTTTTATCTACACATAATAAAAACAATTAATTTTGAAAATGGCATTTTTTTTTAAATGTTGTAAATGTATTCCTAATGTAATTTTGTGGGATATTATTTCACACCATGACTATGTTAGTTTAAACAATATCTACCTTAGCCATTTGGTGACTTTAAAAACTTTTTTTTAATATAATTAAAATTTTGTTCTAATTTATTATGAATGGTTTGATTGAGTTTAAATTATAGAGTGTGTGGTGGTTGACGAATAGAATAAAAATAAAAAAACAAACAAATTGTGGCAGGTAATACATAAATTAGGAATTAACAAATTCAAAATGGAATACAAAGAGTTGGATAGTTAAAAAAAAAATGAAGGAAAATAATTTAGAAAAAAATCAACTACTACGTCAAATACTTACCCAATTCCATATTATACTCCAAAAAGTTTCTATTTCTAAATTAGACATTTCTACACCTCAAACGTAGACTTTTTATTTCTAAACATCACAACACCTCGAGACCTACTTTCAAACTAAGATTACAGAGGTGTAACCACGCACCAAACACCCTGGGGATTTTTTTTGTTTAGCTACTATTTTCTCAGTATTTTATCTAAATTATTATTGATTTTCAACTACCACTTTCATTGACATCTGAAACTGCAAGTCATTTTTTTCAAGATTTTTTAACAATAATATTAATATATATTATATACAGTTATTTGTTTATCCGACCTATTATTTTAAAAGAATGTCACATCTAATTTTTATTTGAAATTTTGTCGGGAGGAGGGAACGGGGAAGAAGAATAAAAGAAAGCGATTGGAACTTTTGCTTTTCTCTCTCATCAGGCTTCCCTCTCCGAAATTTTGAATTCAAATTCTTGTTGGGGCTTCATTTATATGTATCCGCTCTTTTAACGGTCCCTTTTCCTTTCAACGTCTCTCAAATTGTCCTTTCGCATCACCCTCTTCCACGGTTCAAATTTCGAGAAAACCACTCTTTTCCAACGCTACATTTTCTCTCTAAGAATTCTTCGGCAGATTGCTTCTTCTTCAGATCCTCTTCCACCACACTTCGCTGATTTCTACACAACTTTTGCCATATACTCGGTGAGTGCACGAATCACAAATGTGCTAGATAATTTAAGAGGTTTTAGATGTAGTCGGTGACTGGTCAATTTGATGGCTCCCGTTTCTGTTCTCGGAAAATTTTCTGGCCAGTTGTGTAGTTATATGCGGGTGGGAATTGGGTTTTTCTGATGGTGTTAACATCATTCAATTGAAGAAGTTTTATTATCTAGATTCCGTAGACAATTAGGGTTTCTTGAAATTTGATATCTCATTACTGTGTTTCGAATTGTTGTTTATATATACAGGCTTGGCTTTGCTTTCTCTACTTTATAATCAAACCAAAACTTAGAGCAGAACAGACAGACACCATCTGTTCTTCGGGTGAAATTTCTTCAAGATGTCTGTCACTCAAAATGATCCACTTCTACCACTGGAAACTACTTGTGGGTCACTACTTTATGAACTTCAGGTCTGTATGGAATTTCAGTCTCGTCCTTGGGCTTAATGCACAGTTAAAATTCGTATGTAAATCTATTTTGTACGCTTGTATCAAACTATAAATGACATTTTTGGATATCAGATAATATGGGATGAAGTTGGTGAGTGTGAAACTGAGAGAGATAGAATGTTGCTTGAGCTTGAACAAGAGTGTTTAGCGGTTTACAGAAGGAAAGTTGATCAAGCAAACCATTCTAGAGCTCATCTGAGGCAGGCGATTGCTGATTCTGAGGCACAACTTGCTGCCATCTGTTCTGCAATTGGAGAGCGGCCAGTACATATAAGACAGGTTAGAGGAGTAGCACCTTCCTTTGTTCCTCCAAATAACTTAAATTCACTTTTTCAAACGCTGGAGTTACTTGTTTGTCATTTTCTCCTTCCAGTCTGATCAAAAGGCTGTTAGCTTGAAAGATGAACTCGAGCAAATTCTTCCACAACTAGAAGAAATGCGGAAGCGGAAATCCGAGAGAAGAAATCAGTTTCTAGAAGTCCTAGAAGCGATACAAAAGATTTCAGATGAGTTAAATGGGTATGAACATTCTTCATCAAAGGTAGTGTTGGATGAAACTGATTTATCATTGAAGAAGCTTGAAGAATTGAACAGACAGCTTCACGTTCTCCGGCAGGAGAAGGTTAGTTACCTTTGTTTAAATTAATCTGCTTTTCTTTTTTGACCTTTTAAATCTCTCTCTTTTTCTACATGCTGATTAAAGTACTTCTTTCTTATTTTATAGAGTGATCGAATGAAACTGGTTCACAGCCACATGTGTACTTTGGATTCACTTTGTTTGGTGCTTGGCATGGATTCCAAGCAGATAGCTATCGAAGTTCATCCCACTTTGGGTTTTGACGGACCAAAAAATATAACTAGAAACACCATAGAGCAGTTGGCTGGAATGATTGAAAAACTGCGAGAGATCAAATTACAAAGAATGCAGAAGGTAATGGCTCAATGTTTCTCTCTCTGGCCTTCAAATTATTAGCAGTATTGTACCTACAGTAACATTTTGTTGATGCAGCTTCAAGATCTTGTATGTGCAATGTTCGAGCTGTGGAAACTAATGGATACTCCAGCTGAGGACCAACAGATGTTTCAAAATATAACTTGTAACGTAGCTGCTTCAGAAGATGAAATAATTGAACCTAATGCTCTCTCTGCTGACGTTATCACACATGTGAGTGATTTTGAATAGTGAAGATTTCAGTCTCTGTTTTTTTTTTTTTTGGAGGCTCTGTATTCACCGAAGAACAAAAGTACGTTATTTAAGATTAATAAAGGACAACCCATCAAGATACGCCCCTGCCTCATTATAGATTCATAGAGACTCTTCCAAATTATCTGTTCATATATGTCTTGCAGGTTGAAGCAGAAGTTTCCAGATTAGAAGAGTTGAAGTCAAGCAGAATGAAAGAACTTGTTCTAAAGAAGAGGTTGGAGCTAGAGGAGATGTGTAGGAAGCTTCATATGGTCCCAGCAGAAGATTCCGCTATTGAATATGTTATTGATGCAATAGATTGTGGTATATTACAACCATCAATTCTGTTCTCCTACCTTTTTATTAATGATTTTTTGCATTCCATTCTTATTCTGTGCATTTATCTTTCTAATGCAGGAGCTTTGGACCCTGCTTGTGTCCTTGAACAAATTGAAAGTCAAATTCTTAAGGTCAAAGAAGAAGCTTTTGTCAGGAAAGAAATTCTTGAGAAAGTGGAGAAATGGTTGGCTGCATGTGAAGAGGAGTGCTGGCTTGAGGAGTACAACAGGGTCTCTTTAAACTTTCTCATTATTCTATCCTTGCCCAAAAAATACACACACACTCATCTATATGCATACATATGCATAAACGCTACCATCCTTAGTTTTCATTTTTTTTTATACTTGTTCAGGATGAAAACAGGTACAATGCAGGAAGAGGAGCTCATCTTACTCTTAAACGTGCTGAAAAAGCTCGGGCATTGGTTAATAAACTTCCAGGTAAATACTCTCTCGGTTTTTGTACATTGAAACTGTTGTTTATAATTTATAAGAGTTCACTTTTTAACTCAATGAGATAATTGGCAAAATAGAAGTGTAAGATTTCTTGAGCGATGGAAGTAGAAGAGTAGACTTATGTCTACAAAGTTGCTAAATTATATGGTTAAGAACTGTAAACCAAAGGAGATTATAATATAATTCTACTGATGATTACAATTTACAACATGCTTGTTGCATCAATGAGTCTGACACTGGCAGGTCAAAGAAATTGATTATCCGGTACTATTTGGTAATTGTAAACCACTAATTGTATGAACAAAACATGTCTGTTGACTGTAATTTGCTTCTCTTAAGTAAGTTTTCTTGTATCTTATTGATAAAATCCTTACAGGAATGGTTAATGCATTGACAACAAAAACCATGTCATGGGAAGAAGAAAGAGGCATCGAATTCACCTATGATGGCGTAAGTACTTCATTTTGATCTCTATGTGCTTTGTTAATGAACGGGTTTTCCTGCCATTTCCTGATTTAGAGTGCCATTAATTGTCATCTCAAATATATAGGTTCGACTTCTCTCAATGCTTGAAGAGTACACAATTTTAAGACAAGAGAAAGAGCAAGAACTCCGAAGGCAGCGGGTACTGACTATGATATTTGAAATTTACCTGCTTTTTGGACACTTCCATGTTTAAAATGCATCCTTCTTGATTGCTGTCATTTCAATTTTACAACACTTCAGGACCAGAAGAAACTCCAGGGGCAACTAATGGCAGAACAGGAGGCACTTTATGGGTCAAAACCTAGCCCATCGAAGCCTCAGAGTGTGAAAAAAGGTCCTAGAATGTCTACTGGCGGTGCTGGTGGTGCAGGCAGCAGGCGATTTTCCCTTGGAGGAGCAATGCTTCAAACTCCTAAGCCCGATCCTCATAAAGGCCTCCGACCCGCAAGAAAAAGTGACAGGGGACACCAAAGCAACCAGAATTTTCACCTTGATGAGGGATTTGTGGAAGGTTTATCAGCTGGTATGACTTTTCTTCCTATATGTAAATCATCCTATAACATCTTGTTTCTTTTCTGAGTGGCTAAATTCCCATGCCGTTTTCAAGGAAGGAGAGGCTTGGATGTTGCTGGCCTCCCCGTAAAGAAGCATTCATTAGGTGCCAATGCTGGTGAAGCAGAATCACCAATGGTGGTCAGAAAGCCGTTTGCTCCCATTCCTACCACACCCGCCGCCACGCTTTTCCCGAACTCGACGAATTCGTTGAACGATCTTGGCGAGAAGTTGCAGAAACTAAATATGTCATCCAAAACTCCTATAAAGACAACTTCTATTTCAGAAGAAGAGATCAAGACGCCGAAGGTAATGCCTATCCCGGTGCCATCCACACCTTTCACCGTGTCGGTTCCGATGCAGACGGCCGTGACCCCGGCTCTGTTGCGGCCGCCGCCTCGCATTAATGAAGATGTTCTTGAAGTCATTGAATATTCTTTCGAGGAAAGAAGAGCTGGGTTTGTTCTTCCAAAACTGCTGCACGTCAAGTCAATCATACAAGTTTGATACAATACAAACTTTCACTTTTCTTTCAAAGAATTGAAATTTCTTGTTTCTTGTTTCCTCCTCCTTTCAAAGTCAGTTTGTAATTTGGCTTTACTTGATTTGTGTACATAAACCCAGTATTGTGAAGGGTTAAGATTTGCTTTCAGTTATCAGTTGAATTCCACTCATTTGTGAGGATCTTTGTCGCAATTGTGAAAGGGACAGCGGCGTAATTTCAAGCTTCCAGGAGTCGATGAGAAGGGACAGGACCGGACAGCATTATCTTTGACAAAAAATGTCCTTTGTCTTGTCCCATCTTATAAATATTTTCAGATTTTTACACAACAAAATTCAATTTCAAACATAACTACATGTTTGTATCTTCACAAGAAATCTTGTACATGCTATTATATAATATTGTGTTTTGACAATTCTTTTTAAGAAATGGAGAATTTGCAAAAATTAGTGACTAAATATAAATATTATAAATGCTATATATAATTTGTGTTCTCCGTTGCATTATGTATGTACTATAAATAGGTCTATTAGTAATGTAGGTTAGGTATTATATTTTCATGACATTTCAATATTTCTATCACAGTTATATACGTTCATGAGTTTGAAATCGACACGAGAGTTTAATCAACATTTATAATGGAGAAAAATCAACAAAATATTAGTAATATGATTATACTATTAATAATTTTTAATTTATTTAAATATAATAAAATGTTTATGTACTAATTTAATTATTTAAATATAATAAAATGTTTATGTACTAATTTAAATGTTTGTTAACTTTTTTTTTTGTGTTTATAATATTGTAAGAACTATTCTTATAATATAAATATTTTTATCAATAAAAATTTTCATTAATATCTATATAAAATTGAGACATAGTAAATTCGATACGGCAGCAAGACACATATAAGATAAATTTCCAATGGTCAACCTTAAGAAAACTGAAAAGACAGAGAACTTGTCAGTAGGTGGGAAAATGGCATTGCTCCAATGTTAGCTTTACAGCTTTGAATTTATTTATTTATTTTTCCTTTAAACAAATTAATGTTATTTTAAAGTAAAAAAAAAAGTTTTTTGTTTTGGACAACTTTTCTTTTTAATTCTTTTAACCTTCAATTTTGGTTGCTTTGCCATTTATTAAAATTGCCTTTATTAAATTTCCAAGACGGACGTGAACCATTTTATTAACCAAAATTTATTCTTTGTATTATACAATAAAATATTGCATATTTTTTTAAAATTTTCACCATATTTAATTAATTTATATTTCCATTTTACTTTTATTTCTCCCTTTTATTAATTTTCACAGTTTATTTATTTCTCTTGCTTTTCCTGCAACCGAAAAATTCATGATTTCTGTATTCAAAGACAAGATTTTGTTTTATTATTTCTCCGTAATTTTTGCAATTTCTTGCAAAAAAATTTTTTTTCCGGAATTTCATCTTCACCATTGAAGCTCTGCACAGTGACTGCAATGGCGGAAGATCAAGCTTCAGAACTGTGTTCACTACAGTGCAAAACAAAACTTCTTGCGTTCATCTTGTAGCACTTCAAAACTTGAGTGTTGGATTTCTGAGTCTTGTGTTTGCGAATTGAGGCAGCCATTTCAGCTTCAATTTTAATTGAAATTTCCGCTCTCTCTTTGTTCTTCTACCAGCTCCCACCTCGAAGCTCATCCTATTTAGGGAATTTTTTAAACAAAAAGTTCCGAGGTCTTAAATTGTAGGGTTTTAAGTTTCTGAGTAGTTCACTTGTTTCTGCGAGCTGTAGCTATGGAGGAGAAAGTTACCGGAGTTTCTGGGTTCGCAGTAACGAATGATGAAGCCCTAGGGAGCTTCCAGTTAGCCCCAACAACAGAAACCCTAAAAGCAACCGACGAGCCTAAAGTGATGGCG